ATCAAATCCAAGATCCTCTCCAGCGTTGAGTCACGAGCTTGTCCACGTGGAGTCACCGAGATGCGTCGTTCACCCAGACGCGGCGTGTTCTTCAGACGCGCTGTCGCGGGGGACGGATTTGTTGGTAGTCCGCGCTCGGGCTGAGCAAAGGTGTCCAGAAACGACGGGTAGATGTGTTTGGTAAAGAGGTTCCGACATGGATCTGGGATTGTAAAGATCCAAGCAGAAAGACGGAGAAAGCATGTACAGTCATATTTTGGAACTGGGTGTCTTTGGCGACAAGGGTGCCTAAAGAAAAGCTGGTATCCAGAACATGCATCTACAATAGATGTTTGCTGGGTTCTCAGCCCTGACTGACCTTAAGAGTGTGATCAGAAGCCTTATCCTGCATCCAACAGAACACTCTCGAAACCCACCATTGGTAGAGGAATAGCCTTTTCTATGGATTCTATGGGGTCAGACCATTCACAAGAACATGAGTCTTGAAAGAATCTTGAACTTTGTATGGCTTTGCAACATGGAAAGGCTTCATCATTTATACCATCATCACTAACACCAAGCCTTCCAACATCCTTCGAAGAGAGGTTGACCGACCTGGTTTTGGCATACACGATCCAATCCTCATCCTGACCGGTCCATTTCTTTCGATTCCAACTCCCGGAGCAGCTCCCACAGCGGTCCCACAGCGCTCCGAGCGGATGGAGGCGCTGTTAAGACGAGAGCAAGAGGTGATTCCCCATAGGCCACTGATCAGCACACTGAGAAACACCATAACCATCTAGAGGTTGAAGGACCCGAACTAGCATATCCCAGTTGAATACCCCATGGTGATGGCTCCTATTTACGGTCACTGGCTACCTCTCTTGGAACCCACACACTCACACTGAGAAAACACACACCAGGACCTTCTATGATCGAACTTGAGGGGCTTATTGATCGAACACGTTCCTGAACAGGCCCGCAGATGGACCGGACCGAGCTGGGCTTCAAATCTTAAACGTTTTGGCCGCCCCTTCAGGTGGTGAGACAAACACATCGCTGGATGGAAGAACAGATCGAAAGCATTCGCTCATGATAGCTCGAGCGCGTGGTTTCGCAGGGAGAAGGACCAGAGCTCGTCTATGGAAGGGGAGGCTATGGAACGGTCCGCTGTAATGCGGCCTGTCCTGTTCTTAAACCGAGCTCTCGGACAGTGGACACCGGGTGTCCGTTTGGTTTCTCTTGAAACGGGTGGTGAAGACGGTACCAAGACGGTAGACGTGGAGATACGTGGAGTACCAAGGGAACAGCTCTCATCGGTGTTTGCTGTGGGGGGACACTCCAATCGATCACGCATGGGAATTTGACTGGATATCTTGTCACTCTTGTTGAGCGGAACCCGGCTACCATTTGATGCTTTACAAAGTGCTTTACAATCCATACAAGTCCAAAGGCCCAGTAAAACCTGCTTTGTGATCTCCTTGAGTAGTGCTTTTTGCGCGACCAACTCCAGTACAATGAGGTCATTGACTTGTAGGGGATGATTCCATTTATGTTTTCCTTCTGTGTGGAAACCTTCTCCGCCGAAAAGCCCGACGACGGTGCCGGACCTCTTTCATGCGAAACGCGGGCACAGTCAAAAGCACCAGCAATTCGTGGAAACGGCAAATGAACACCTGCCAGGCCCCCCCGGGCCAGGGATGTCTAAATATAGCTCCTTAGAGATTCAGGGGTATCCATTAATCACCCCTATCCGGGGGCCCTGGTGGGAGTTCAGTCGACCATGTTAAACATGGTCTCGCGTTACTGTGACACAACCTTTCTGGGGAATGGTTCTGGGACTCTGCTGGTGCCTCTGTTCTACGTTCTCACTGGACTTCAGAAGTCCCTTGCGTGCCCTAGCCTCGCCCGTTCGCCTAGCCCGTTCGACCATTCTTAACAAAAGTGCTTGACCTGCGCTTGGTAGTCTAACATCCTTAGTGCAAGAACTCAGTTGAACCGCCTTGGCGGCATTTCTTTCAAGACACCCGTCCACTGCCCACTGCCCGCCGTCCACTCCGGGGTCCTCCCACGTCTCGCACGTGTGGAGGCTGTGCCTGGAGTGGTTGAAGACCGGTCGACTCAGCGACGGCGATGGCCCTCACAGACGAACGTTCACGTGGAAAGGGATAGGGGTTTCTGGCTTTGGACCTTAGGGTTTGAAGCAAGCAAAGCGCCATGGGATTCATCTGGGTCATGAAATCAAGGCCCAAGGGTATGTATGGGTTCTACGTTAGCCCGCGTTAGCCTGTAATCCCAATACAATGCAAACTGGCCACTAGTGAGTCTTCAACTTACTAAAGGTTGACTGTTTTGAATGGACCAAAGGCCAAGCAAAACGAGTTGTTCTTGACCGGGAGGGTGAAAGGGAACCCCAACCCAAAAAGCCCGCTTCAGCTTTTCTCGTCCATTTGGGGTGGCCATTCCGTCTTGTTTTCATCCAATGAGATATGCCAAACATGTTTGGTTACAAACTCAGATGATCACTGGCAGAAGGAAACACCAAAAAAGACTTCAAGAAGACCCAAAGCTACGTTTGAGACGTAGAATCCCTGGATGATAGGGATTGTTGAATATATTTATTATGACGAAATACGAACACTATGACGTTGAACATATGAAACACATATGGCTGTTTTACTATTGAAAACATTGAAAACATATGGAATACATACAAGAGGAAAATAAGTACAAATTTGTCGTTTCATACGGGTTGTTTCATATTTTCCTATGTATTATATATATATATATGTGTGTGTTTACTGTAAGTGTTAATGAATTTGTTTATATTATCCAAAATTGTGCTCTCATTCCAATTCATTTCCAGAAAAAAAACTTTTCATAAATGTTCAATCCATGGCAAGCTCCAGGGTAATTATGTCTCAATTATGTCTCATCCCTCTCCCTCCCCCTCTCTCTCTCTGACACTGACTCTGTCAGTTTTTTGGTAGAACCTTTTTGGAACACAAAGCGAAGTTTTTGTTCCACTTGTTTCGTTTTTGGTGGGGTGCTTTGAAACCCTAAGGTTTATAGGGGTTAGATGGGTTAGGCTTTTGCCAAACAGGTGCTCCAAGGATGGTCCGTCGCTGGGTCGCTGGGGTGGCGCCCAGCCGAAACGTGCCCGTTTCCTTTTTGTGGGGTGGTGCCGACCCTCGAGACGAGGCTCGGCACCACCCTCAGGGGTGTCAGTCAGATCGAGCGCACGTACGGGCATTCAGCCGGACATCAGGACATCAGCTTTTGATGTTTTGGCAGCTGAAGGCCCAACTGGTGGGTGATCCAATCCCTAATTACTCATGTTTATAAAATCGAACAGATTTGACATGCGTTGGTCATACAAGTTCACACTGAACGAGGGTTAGGACCAGCTGGGTCTTTAAACATCTTCAAACTATATTTGGACAGAAGGCGAGGGTGGCATTCTCTTGTTGGCTTCTTCGGACAGGACCATTAAGTCAATGGCGGGCCACGAATCTTAAGTTTCAGGTTTCCAGGGCGCCCTTGGCCGTGAACCGAAGTGTTTCACCCACCCGTTAGTGGTGACAACTGGCAGTGTTTTCAGTGGTTTGATGTCGAAAAGATGGGCCCGCGAAAACCACCGACATTGGGGATGGTGCCATCGACTCTCATTCCACCATTGCCTTCAAAACCTTTTTCTCCCGCTGGCATATACCTTTGTAGTCGAAGTTGCCCAGGTTGTGGGTTGCCAGCTGGTTGATTTGCTTCCATTGTGTTCAGGGCTCTTTTCGGAGACCCCAAATGGTTGCACGCACATGGCTGCACATGCGCAGGTTCGTTGGCATCGTTGGTTCGGAGGGCTGCGTGATGGTTTGGGATTGTTGATGCACGAGCCAGATCCAGTTCTTTTGGACCACCTGCCAGCGAAGACCCCAGTGGCAAAAATCGTTGTGTCAAAAGTGGTGGCTCGGGGAGGGGGGGGTGGGGGATGGTTTTTTGCGCTGAGAAGAAGATCCCCCAAGCATTCCCAAGCTGGCGGCATGAAAGCACAGTGGGCGCTGGCGCTGTCCGTTTGCCCAAACGTGCCCAGACATGGGTATCCAGAAGATTCCAGAAGGCTTGTTTCTTAGAAGCATCTCATTTTAATGGACATCATGCATGTTGATGTTGATTCATTTTGGGACGACTTTTGATAAACCATCAGTTAAACCATAAACACCCCCTCTATTTGTGAAGAGGTTCTGGTTTTACACGCCTTCGCCACATCACTCGAACTCTCCGAAAATGTTGCCACTTCACTCGGTGTGGGGGGCAGATGTTGAACTTGGGAAGGACAAGTCATGAACATTCATAAACCAGGACCAGTACCAGGACCTGAGCCGTTCGTAACCTCTTTGGAGACAGAACCCTGTGACCCTTTACAAGCCTGTTTGTGACCGACCCGCCACTGGGATCTCAAGTTCGGTCACTCTGAAGGGCCTGGAAGATTCTGGCGAGACAGAATTCATCCAAGGTCTCGAAGGATTCCACTTGACCGTCGTCGACGCTTGGTCGTCTTCCCGTCCGTTGGGGGGGAAAGGAACGACGAACGTTTTCCGCCTTCCATGAGGGGGGGGCGGGGCGCGACACAAAACACGAAATTGTGTTGCGTATACTGTGGCCATTTTTGAAATGGTTGATTTGGTGTTGTAGTGCAAAGTTGTATACTTCTTAGACTACTTCTTAGTAACACAGCTGGTGCTTCGGGATTCAGACCATAGCCGGTTTCTCCGGTGCCCTGTTGGCAGAAGGTGTTGGTTGACGGCCCCTGGTTCCAGGTCCAACTACATGGTGAACACCAACACCAGGTTTTCACCAATGGCCAAGTGTTTTTTTGACAAAGAACAATAATGATGTATGTCATTATGTGTTGTCTTGTGATCATGATGTGTTGCGTATATGTGCAATATTGTAATGTAATGTTACAATATTATCAAACTTCACAACGGAGGTCATTCCGCTGCTCTCTTTGAGGCAATGTCACCTGAAGATCTGCCGGTGTTTTCAGCTTCAAACCATTGACGCGCCCAACACGCTCACAGAGCGCGGCCATGGCCGATGGCGGGGCGTGTCTTGTTTGCAGGGCGTTCGACGCACAGAATCGAATGAAACCCTTAAGCCTTATCATGTTCTTTGCTCCCCCCTCCAAAAATAATGGAAGTGGACCATAACCCCTAGGAAAACGATGTTTCCTCTACTAAGAGGGGGTGAACTCCACTTCCATGTTTGTTGGAGAGAGGGCAAACATTCTTGAACGTGGGCCATTTGTTTGCCATGCCCTACTCCAACCATATCCTCAGAAGGTGGTTAGACCCCCCTGCCCCTGGCGCAATCTGGTGCCCACCCCAACCACCGAACCTCAGAAGGTGGGCCAGGAGCCCTAGGGATGTGTTGGTCTTGTTAGGTTTCTCAATGTCACGTTTGCGGATCGTGTCGGATCGTGTCAACCAGATTCGGGTGGCGGATCCCGACCTGGTTGGCCGACGGTTGTATTTCCCTACAAGTCAAAGACCTCATTTTACTGGAGATGGTCACGCAAAACCACTACTTTGAGGTAATTCAAAGACCAGACCAGGTTTTGCGTGGTCAGACTGGACTTGTAGAGACTTGTATCGCCTGGCAGTTTCACCGCACCTTTTGAGGCCTGCGGAGCCCAAAGCGCCCAAGCAGGCGCTGGAACCGGTCCTCCTGACGGTTCACAGTGACAGAACGAGTTCCCTAGAAGTCTTCCCTAGAAGTCCAGTTCGACTAGCAGGGCCCCCTAAGGCCCTAAGGGGTGATGAATGGATACCCCGAATCACCTCTATACGGAGCTATTTCATTAGACACCCCGAGTTGCGGGGGCCCTGGTATATCTTGACCGGCTGAAGTAAAGGAAGTTGCCCCAGACTCAGTTCCCGTAGTCAGACCATTCTTTTTAGAGTCGACTTGACTCCCAGGGTGTTTGTTTTGGTGGAAAGGGATGGAAATGGGATCTTCAAAGAAGAATGGAATTGGGATCTTTGGGTGAAGCCTTTGCATGCTGAAGCAATCTGAAGCATGCTGGATATATGAATTAAGAATGTTTGAAGATCCTTTTGACCTTGCGATGGTTTAACATGTTTTTCACATGTTCCAGGAGTCACAAAGGGATGCCGAACTTGGAGGATAGGTGTGCCCAGCTACTCCACTCACTGGATGGGACTAAACTAAACACCCCCTCTCTTTGTGACCCCTGGTTGTTTGAGGTTGGTGATTGATTTCATGAATTCATCAACAGACCAGCTATTTGGAGCGCACCGTCAGCAGCACCAAAACGACCTGTCACTGACCTGATTGTTTCCGCAAAAAACGCAGAACAGCTTCGAATTTGCACAGAGACATCACACAAGAACTAGCACTTAAACAAACCTGGGCATGCCTACACCAATGGTGGACACCCTGGTATTGAAAACAATGGGTCTTTGCGCTGCCAAGAGAGACGAATCTAAAGCATTGCATTCGTCGTGTCACGTGTCCCCTGGTTCTACGTAAGGGTCATCGCCTCCAGGGTGATTCTCGTGTGTAGAATCGTGCGCAGAAAAACAAGAGCGAGCGAGCAGGGAGGTCATGTCAAACGGTTGTTTTTAGTGACCAAACCAATTAGGCGGTATAACATGGTATAACCCATCATAATCCTTCTGTCCTATCTACCTGGACCTGACTGACCCAGTACCTTAGAAAATGGGACATGACCCTGACCCCATAAAAACAGGTACCTGTACCCATTTTCAGAGGTACGAACGGGTCGACTCCAATCTACTTCCATCATTCAGACATCTCGACTTCAAACATCGAAAGTCCATGAACCAGCAGAGGTGGGTCAAAACCCTAGTTCGACTATCCTATAGGTTATTTCAGGTTTTCCCGGTCCTATTGACCGTCACTGGCTACCTCTGGAAATCCCAAGCCCGACCGCCAGCTGCCGCGGCTTTTCTCGTTAACAGGCACCGCAGCCGGGGCAGATGTCGGGGGCGCCCAGTCGAGGATCGAGGATCGAGGAGGATCGAGGTGTGTGGCCCAAGGCGAGCGAAATATGGGAGACTATAGTAGGGTGAATCATCGGAGGAATTGAATAGAAATCGTATACCCAAAACACGAACAGATGGACATTTCGGCTTTGCCCCTTTTTCAGGGATTCTTCGGAATTGGGAGTGAGCTATATAGTTCCTGTATAGTTCCCCTAGATGTTGACCCTAGCAATCCAAGACCATTCAAAGAGATCAGTTGACTATGCTGACTCTTGTGGCCGAAATTCATCCTCGGTCAAAACAATAGTTGTTCGATCGAAAACCTTTGAATCAATGGTTGTTGAAGGCCTTGGGATGCCTAGGGTGACTTTTTCATTGCCTATTACTTGTAGCCTATCTTTTGTTTTGTTGTTGTGTGCGCTCGTTTATAGCTTTGGGATCCATACCTGGTCCGCGGATTGCATTTACCGTATTGTCCACATGTTCACGCGATGTGAAAGGTGTGTCAGTGTTCAAGGTGATCATTTGGGGTCTTCTTACAACAAAAGGAAACCATTGTTCTATCGGTTTCCGGGCTCACACTGATGAACTTGATAGCCGGGTCATCCTGAACCACCACTGTTTTCTACTAAGGATTTTTATGCTGCAGAACCAGGTCAAGCAAGGGAATGTCCAAAAGGGGTTTGGGGGGAAGGAACTAAAGGGTCTCATTTTCTCAAAGGACCAGGAACACACCGGTTCTGCAGCAGCTGCAGCTGGTCTGCACTCCTTCCTCTGCACCTGGAACCGGCAGGTTCCGCCGATCCTCGGCACGCCCAGCTCGGAACCGAGGGTTCTTGGTCCGAAGCGACCCGTGGACCGAACTCCCAACTCCCGACCATCGCAAACGAACCCGCGACCCGATCTCCGCGGTCCGCGTAGCGCGGCTGGACCCGGGCCTCCACTCCCGGTTTGAGGTGACCAGGAAAGGCCGTCGTGAACGGAGCATCTGCAGCAGGACCGTCTCCACCCGAGGGTCCGTACTCACCAGCCCTGCTCTTCCGAGGTCCCAGTCGCTCGACGAGCCAGTGCGAGGACTTGAGAAGGCGGAAGCGACTGCCGGACCTGGGGGGGTGGGAATTTCATGGTTTCCAGTCGCCCAAGGGACCGAAAAAGAAGGAACACTGAGACCTGTTTTGTTGCGGGGGATGTGTTTGGTGATCTTTGGGGAGGGACTTGAGGGGGTTCGATTTCCCGATTCTACCCTCCAAGAACGGACCAGCGAATTCTCCAGTTCGGAAGACTGCTTTCCTCTACCAGCACGGCTATCCACTTCCATGATTGGAGGGATCCGTAGATGGGATTAGATTACGTAAAACATGACGCAAAATGATCCAGTTCTAAGTTCGAGGTGGGTTGTCTTTAGGTTGCCCTCATGGTCACTGTCCGGTCTCTCCGGTAGATCTGTTTGAAGATCAACATCTAAGATCTATAGCCTGGGAGTCAAAGGCCATAGTAAGAAGAAGGGTCTGATCGTGTGGGGATTTCCATTCTGAAACATGGAAACCGGTCCATTCTGAAAATTATAAGAGACACATGGAGAGGGATCTCTCTCAACAGTTTTCAGAATGGGGAGGCTGTTTCTGGAACTCTGGGAAGTTTAGACAAATATGACTTGGGAAAGTTAAGAATAGACGTGGGAAGAGAGATCTTTCTTTCAGCTTCTACCAGGGCCAGGCCAGGCCAGTTTCCCCGAATGCAAATCCTGCTGGCACTGTCACACTGCTCCAAGTCCTCAAGAATTCAAGGCCCAAAGGCTCATCGGACCCTCAGTTCGCTAGGGTTTTGACCCTCACAGCTCGGGTGCACTGCACCTCAAAGATGTAACAGTTGGTTCGGGTCCAGGGTCGCCTCTGGGGGACAAGGATGATTAGACTTTGGGCGTACCCTCACACGACCTGCGGCACTCATCGGCACCATTAAGACCCTTTGAGCCACAAAGACCGACCCTGCCGCGTGCCCTTGGTCCCCCTCATGGGACCGAAGTGACCAGGGGGGTTGGTGTTCGGTTTTCAGGTTCCTCTCAGTGAGAGCCTCTCAGGTTCCTCTCCGCTCACCCAGAGCTGTCGTTGACCATTTGTTCACTGTATGTTCACTTGCTGATCGCATGGGTAAACCTTGGTGAACCCTGGACTGGTGACTGGTGGTGGTCGACTCAACGGTTCACACGAGACCGGTGCGGTCGAGCTTCATTTCTTGAGACGAAGGGGAGACGACGGGGTATTAAGCGAGCTTTGCGCATAGACTCAATGCCGCATTGACCAGTATTGATTAGGAGATCCAGACAATTCCCATGTGACCGGGATGACTGAAATGATGTTTGGGACCTCCAGTTGTAGACTTCGATTCTGACAACACTTTGCGGTACGCAGACCGTCCCCATCATTTGAGCTCGCTTAGGTTTGGAAATGGATTGTTGGTTTGAGTGAAGAGCTTTGAGAGGGGGTTGTAATGTGTTGATGAACGGGTTAGGAACTTTGATGCCTAATATAACTCCCGCCCAGACGATCCATGGCTACGCAAGCTATGCAAGCAAATATGACCTGCATTCATCACCAAAAGACACTGCAAACCAGTATTGGCCTACATGACTGGTGCTTTTGGGTGGTGAATCTAAATCATGTTTGCTTGCACGAATCGTTGGGGATATGGCGGTCATGGCACCAGGAGCGTTCGGTGGTCCGACCTCCCGTTCGGTGGTGTATTCTGTTCATGTTCGGTGGGTCTCCCGGAGGTGGGTCAGAACCCGACGCCCTTCGCCTGGGACCCAGGCCAGGGTACCCCAGGTGACAGGTCCTAGTTCAGGTCACTGGCTACCTCTCTTGGTAGTGGAAATGATTGTTCGTTGCTGGGACTCCACTGCTCATTCAAAGGTCGTTCACGAGTCAAAGCTGTTCCTTTGGCACCCCCTTCAAAAAGCCTCCAGAATCAAACACCTCATTTTGCATAGATATATTTTCCCTATGGATGCATACCCTTCTCAGGAAGATTGTGTTTGGTTGAGATTCCTGGACAGCAAATCCAAGAACACATTGCTCCTTGCCAGCACCCCCAGTCGGGGGTGGTTCATGGACACCCCTTAAAACCAAAGCGTTTCGGGGCTATCAATAGACACCCCGTAAGCTTGGAGGGTCCTGGTGGAAGGAGCTATAGGAGAACCTACCAGACCATCACCTACCCCCCAGTCGTCGATCGATAGGATTTCGCGTGAGTATATACCGTGATGGGCTGAACCAAGTGGGTCGATGGAGGTTCTGATGAAACGAAAGGCTTCCTGGCCCCATCAATTCATTGTCATAGGCGAGTTGAATGCCGAATCAACGACAAGGATTTTACACTACAACATACTATACAAATCAACCATTGTTTTAATGGTCGAACGGGAGTCGAGTTCATGATGAAACAACGGTAACCGACTCCGCTGACAGGTGCGACTCGTAAGTGACTTTTGAGCTTTGTCTATGGTGGGGGGTCAGCCAACCTCATTCCTGTTTTAGGCAAGTCCTCCTCCACCTGAACTCTTGAGGACAGAGTTCGATGCATTTATGCCAGTCTGAAGCGGGGATGGGGTCAGGTGAAAATAATTGCTAAACATAAATCCTCCACTCACTCATGTTGAGGGGATGCCTCAAACTCCGCAACAAGCAACAAACCAAACCATTCGTTGCATCCCGAAACATCTAGAAACCAACATCCAACTGCTCTTCCCTTCTAACCCGAATCCAACTCCGCTCGAGACCCGAAAACAAAGAATCCATCCGGCCAAGCGGCCTGCCTGTCCTACCCTTCTGCTTCAGGTGGATGACCTGAAGGCACCGACGCAAGGGACTGACCGAGGAGATGGTGGATGGCCCCACCGCTGCATCCGGGAACCACACAGCTCTGTCTTACTATCCTGTTTGGGCTCCGAACGGCCCACCGAACCTGAGGAGAAGGTGGGCCAGGGGTGGGTGCCAGGGGGCTCTAACCACCGAACCTGAGGAGATGGGACGTTCGGAGCCCTAGGGTATGTTTCAGTCATGGATTTTACACTACACACTACCAGGTTTGGTCCCATTGCTTTCAACTGCTCCAACGGTTTCGCTGATCCGGGGAAGGTGTCACCGGATGAGATAATTTGGGTGAACAAAAAGCTCTATAACCAAGAGAGGTAGCCAGTGACCTGAACTAGGACCCGTCACCTGGAGTACCAAACTGGGATAGTCGAGCAGTCGGGTCCTGACCCACCTCTGTTGGAAGAATCCGGGTCACATGGGAAGATGTGAGACAACTCTTGGCCAGAAATCTTCCATCCAGGTCCCTCCCTAGGGATCCAAGATGATCCGAACCTCATTCGGTACGACTGGACCCTCCAAATAGCTATATACATAACAGTGTTGAACACATCACCTGAGAAGGTAATTACTTGGATACCTAGGGCCTGGAATTGAAGAAGGGCTTGGCATATGTCTTATGCCTTTTGTTTGGCGGATCCATTGGTCCCCCGTTGGTGGGTTTCGGTGGTGAACGGGAAACAGCACGTTCTCGCACCACGGTGACAGCGGGAGGGTGGGGTGGGGAGGGCCTGAAAGCATCTGGACCGGGACATGTAGCAGGTCACTTGAGGGCACGAAGAAGCCTGTTTGGGTTGTTTGGGTTGGGTTCTTCTTTGTTTGGGTTGGGTTTGGGTTGAGCCTGTTTGTGTGTGTGTGTGTTTTGGTGCTACATCTTCTTAGTGCAGGATTTGATCGCCCGGTACGGTTCTGGGCTTGATGACATGTTTGACCACGTGGCCTTCTTTTTTGGACGACGTTCAGAAGTTCAGAGGCATACAAATGGTCGATCATGGGATGCCCAAAGAGGTTTGGTCGAGAAACAACGGGGGTTCGGGGGGAGACCCGAACTGGACTCTTCCAGTGACCCGAACTGGAGTGGCAGCCATGAAACGCTCAGTTCGGTCATGGAAAAGGTCACACCTTCCAATTCTGAACATGGTCAAGAGTGGAACAGAGTGGAAGGTCCAGGGTCGACCGTGCCCACCATGGTAGCGGTCGACGTTCCGGAGTCCAACAGTTCGCAAGATCCGCGGTGTACCGCACTCCGAGCAGTGCCACTTTCTGGGGATGATAGAGCTGGTAGGTGTGGAGAGGGCACGGGCGATCGCCCAACAGTTCGATGAGGGCGGTACAGTGAGGGTTTGGTGCGTGGTGTCCTTCGCAAAAACCATCCGTTTCGTGTCACCACCCCAGTTTCGCTTGCAAAACATCCGTTGGGAGTCGATCGAGTCGATCGATCGACTCTCCTACATCTTCCGCCAGGTGTATCAAAAGACAAGTGAGACCTCCGCAGGCAACAACCCCCAAGCCTTGGAATCTGGAAAGAGCTTCGGGACATCTGGAGGAGTTCCAACCCAGCCACGACCTCTCGATACCTCTCGAGTTCGTCCGGGGGAAAAAAGAAACGGTGGCACAGCCTGAAACATCTCGCCACAGCCAGACCAGACCTGAAACATGTCGGTGGCACATCCAGGTGCATCACCGGGAGTTCTTCGGCGGCGTTGGAAGCTTTACGGTGCTCAAGCACGAGCACCTGTCGCCGCTCGGTCGGTCGTTTCAGGGAGCCGAGGGAGGTGGAGAGATGGCAAGATGTGGGGATATCAAGATTGAAACATCCAGTTCCGCGAGAAGATTGAAGAGATAGGTTGGATGGTGCTGGATTCTGTTGAGGTCCGGAACTTTGCTTGGGCATCATTGCATTATCATCAATAGTCCACAACTAAATTGCGAGTCACCCAGTGTTGGATACCATATTTCGACTGATGGATGTGTTCATTCAGCCAATGGCAGTGTGGACGCGATCCTGTGACCAATGAGGGATTCCTGTGGGAATCAACGCATCAACCATATGACGCAGAGCCGCTTCCACACCAGCAGCAAGGAAACCAAGATCAGCTTTGAAGACCAGTGTGCCTGTGTTGTGCCTTTATTTGGGTCGAGCTTGAAGGATGGAGAAGATGGAAGAACACAGGATCTAAGACTCCTCAGCAGTCGGACCCCACCTCACGCCACTCCATGCGAACGGTACCGAGGTCAGCCCATCAATGGGAAAGGAAGAGAAGAGATTCCAGTCCCATCAGTCATGTTCGGGTGATAGTTGATAGCTGGATCGTCCAACTCTGCTCAATTTCTACCCTTTGGCTCCGAACTTGGCTGGTTTTTTGGCTGGCATTTTGAATGGATGAACAGGCAGAACTTTGTCAGAGTTGGAAGATTCAGGTACCAGCAGTCACAAAGGGTCGCTATCCATGGAGGTTAGGGGCGCCCGGCTACTCCACTCACTTAGGGACTTAACACCACCCCTTTGTGACTGCTGGTGTATATATGTGTATGTCACTCATGTCATGGCAAACGCGCCATCCGTGTCCACCATTCTTCTAAAACCGTTGATGTGTACGTGCCTGTTCTAAGAAGTGTTCGCCACCCCCACTCCAGTTCACGCACGAACTCGGGTGCCCTATAGGCTGCTTTTTGGGGCCCTTGAAGGGCTGGAGATGGCTGGAGACATGCTTGACTCGGAAGTACCGGGGGAGAGACGTTTTAGGACGTGTTGTTTCTATTCCATCCATGTGGTTGCCGGGCCCCTTGGTGGGGGGTACACCACAGACTATGGCGAGGAGCTGTAATTAATATAGTTCGTAGATTTTTAGTAGTTCTTTCATGTTGAGTTTGTTCAATTATTGTGATAACCAACAGAGGTTGAAGAACCCTAGTTCGGCTATCCTATGAGTCCCCCAGGTTTTCCGGGTCCTAGTTCAGGTCCTTCAACCTTTGCTGGAATGATTTTCGCCTGCACCGGTCGTAGGCGGTGTGAACACCCCATCTCCAACCACCCCCACGGTGTTTTTTGTTGTTCCCACCCTCCACGGTGCTTCCCGCGGTCGCCCAACGCCTGGATTTGGGCGAGGACGGCGGTCTTTCGGGGACGATCGATGTGTTCGAGTGAGGCAATCCACGATGAGTGGCCGGAAGACCTGGATTCCAGCAGTCACAAGGTAAGGGGTGCGGACTCGGAGGTAGTCGGGGTGCCCCGAACCTCACATCCACAGCCCCTGGATGGGACGAGCCACACCACCCAACTCGCGACATGTGACTGCTGGTTGTTCTGTTTTGTTTTGTTTGAGAGCACCGAGCACCTGAGCAGTAGCATGGGCAGGTGGGTAGTGTGTGGGTTGTGGACTTTTCGTGGTGTTTCCCCCGAGCCGAGCCGCGTTTGGGAGATTTCTCCTTAAGGGATGGATGTCCGAATTGCTTCAGAGCAGAGGTTTCGAATTTCTGTTTGAGCCCAGGGTTTTGTTGCAGAGCGCCGTTGGATGTGCAACTTGAGGGTTTGGATGGGTGGTTCTTTATGGATCTTTATGGTTCTTTTATTGCAAGGTAACCATGAACATGTATGGCATTGTATGGCATGTTTGTCCCCTTTTGAACGGATTTGAACTCCACTCTGCTGGGATGTTCCACCTGATAGCGTTGAGGTTGTTGGAGCCAGCTTGGAGTGCCACTCTTCAGAGGGTGCCTCTTGAGCAATGGATCAGACTCATAATAAGCCCACTGACCGATGGCGCAACAACTGGATACCATCAACCAGCAGTTCCATGTCAGAACCTGCAGGTACCTTCACTTGGGCCCACGAAGGCAACAGATCTGGACTGCAGGTTTACTTTCAATAAGTGAACTGGCCCCAAGCTAGCTCACCCTTCAGACATGATCAAAGACCCGCTTCAGGTGCATCAACTTGTGAATATGTGTGTCTGAAAAACAAAACCATGGCTTTCCAAGCTGCTAGCTCGGTGTCTGCAAGTTCAGTTGCATCCGTGATACCCTAACTTGTTTCACTGGCACCAGATTCCCGGTCTTTCTTTGGTCTCGAGTCTCGAGGCTCGACCCCCGAAGAGACGAAGGTCGAGTCCATAACGAGGCACAGGAAATCCCTGATGTCAACTTCCATCACCCGTTTGGATTGAAACCAGCATGTTTTTTAAGGGTTTGAATCCCAAAGAACCATTGTTTTACTAAGGATGTGTACAACGACTACACCACCAGCTCAACCGTTCTTTTAATGGTAATTGCGCCCAGAATACACAAATCGCAGCAGAATGACCAGTTCCAGAGTGCCAGCAGTTTTCCATCATGTTCCATCCTAAGGCACTGAAGATGTCCAAACCCTTTTGGCTTAGAAGTATGGTATATCCCAGACACTCCAAGGGACTGCCACATTCGCCTACATTGGATTCAATGTGGAGTTTGATGAAACTTTGACGCTCAACGCTTGATGAACATTTCACGAGCCCAGCATTGCCAGACCATGCATGAAACTGGAATAGTTATAATATACATTTACCCTATACCCTATTCATAACCCTAATGTTTGCAACTCTTCCATAAGATGGTTTGGGATTGGCCAAGTCTGCTCTTTGTTGCCTGAGGTTCGTTCACTTTGACCAGCTCCACTGGAGGTGTCACGGAGTGTCTTGGCGAGCTCCGCGTCTTTCCGGCGTCTTCGTCCGATGGAGGACACCTAAGATCAGTCAGAGCAGACCAACCGCGAATCCACCCATCTGAAGCCTTCGGCGAAGTAAACACCGAAACCTTTGCCATGTTTTTTTAGGCGCCAGGGCTGTTTCCATCCATCTAATATATACTTTAATATAATTAATGTCTAAATTATGATTCTTTTCTTTCAGTCATCTACGGGTTGAAGTTGAAGGTATAGTGTGACAATGCTTCCAACGTTCGCAGTGAGGTGCTGTTGTTTACATCGTGACTCAAGGTCTAACATCGACTCATATGATTGAACTGGACCTTTCGGTGCCTGAAAGAAAGGTTCAGACATGTATCCCTAGGGCTCCAACCACCTCCTGAGAAGGTGGTTGGGGTGGGCGCCAGGGGGGTCTCCTTCTGAGGATATGGTTGGAGCCCTAGGGTATCTACCGTATATACATGTTCATATTTTCCAGCACAAATCAGGGGAATTGACCACTCTCATGCGATGTGTGGAAACCTTTCCGGTAGAAGTTCTGCCGTGGTGGCTTTCTCCTTGCTTGGATTTGGGTCAAAGGGGACACCATGGGACATTCACATTTGTTTGCCTTATTTCGGTGAGTCCAGATGAGGCGCACGTCAGCCCGGCATGCGCTTTGGTCTTGGGCGGGGGGGGGCAGGGCGACCCAGAAAGTCCTCCGTTCCGATCCTCGGCACGGCGCTGGTCGGAATAGTAAGACGTCGAAGTCACTGGGTGGGTCAGAACCCGACGCCAGTCCCGACCCTCCTGGGCCAGGGGGGGGCCCTTAGGTGTTCCAGGGTCCTACTAGTTCGGTCACTGGCTACCTCCGAAGACATCGATGAGCCGAAGATCAAGATGCTGAAGATCCGCTTCGAAGACCATCGGTCAGACCATGCGACATGCTGAACGTCCCAACCAGTGGTCCGTTGCTTTTCAAGGGATTGATACCTATAGCACTTCCAACGGGTGCCCAATGGACCGAGACCTGTAAGTAGGGTAGGGTAGTCTATTGGACACCCATTGGATGATCCTGGTATCTAACCCAAGATTCTGAAGAACATCTGAAAGCTAATATTCATACCAGCTGCTTCCGTTCGGGGTGATCTGGCTGGAGAACCCTACACTGCTTATAGGTCACCAGACAGGACACCCATTGGAAGCGCTAGGTAATAAATATAGATAGATATAGATAGCAGTAGCAGGTGTAAATAATTAGGTGTGGCATCCATGTGACAAAGCAGGACTTCGCGGTCTAAGACATTCTCCAACTGTCCACCTCAAACTGGGAATACATTTACAAATTAAATGATGAATGGAAGCCTCAAAGGCGTTGCTATGGTTGAAAGCCACTCGCTTTTGGGACTCAAGACGTAGCAATGCAGCCCCAACTTGAGGTCTTTGCGGAGGCAAAGATCGTTAAAGGTAATTACCAAACATTACAAAACACTTGTTTTTTAGGAGTGAAAATCTTGGCATTCTTGTTTCTGAGATCCCACTTGACGGGAATCTCCAGGAAAATTCAGGTGGTAGGTATGTAGAGGATTGAGTTTGATGATGTATATATCACCTTTCAACTACTTCTAGCCGGACCGTGCTCGACCCGGCTACTTTGTCAGCCCGGCTACACGTTCTTCGTCTTGGCGAAAGCATGACCCGCCTTCAAACGGTTTTACTACCGTTCTGGCACACCAGGAGTCGTCCTGTGTCTTGAGGAACCTTGAAACATACTCTTAAACTGTAAATTTGGTTGATTTATTTGCAGCTGTTGAGGAATAGATATACCTCGTTCGCCCTGGTCTGTTTCGGTTCAGCAAGCAACCTTCCGACTGACCCGTGAAGGGTTGGACGAAGGTCGGAAGTCCGGAGCTTGTCGTGCAGGTCAGTTGGTTGGTCACCGTTGGCCTCCGCGGATGCCGAGGTACAAAGGATGCTTCAATGGCAACCCCGCGGACGACGGGCCGACGCCCAACGGTTTAGGAGCTCGGGCCACCCAGCGGGGCGGTGACCCGTGGAAACTGTTTGAACAAGAAGTGACGGAGCAGGGCAAACAGCCCAAGAAAGGATCAACAAAAAGCAACTGAGAGATCTTGCGACCTCCAGGACCTGCAAAAAGGAGACGTCTCTATACAAGTGACCTCTTTAAGGGACGGACGGACTGACCTCAGCCACTGGGATCTCAAGGCTGGTCACGTACTGAAGGTCCTGGATCATGTTTTTTGGGTCTACGAAAACTTTGGTGTCCTTACCAAGGGCGCAATGAGTTCATTTTTTCAAACCTGAAGCAACATGCAGTGGCGCTCCTCGAGGCTGACCGATAGAGGCTGGGCTGACGTGGATGACGTGGGCACTCACCAAGACCCATATCGCATTGCGCTTGTTTCCTTTCAACCGTTTTAACATGGAAGACCTTGTTTTGTAAGTCGTGTCGAATCCTTTAATCAAACAGTGCGCCTCCAAGCTTCAGCCTCTTAAATCGGTATAGTATACTTCCGCCATCAGGGCACCTGTGCCATCATGTGCCGTAGGGCTCCAGATACCTTCGTTTCGAAGGTGGGACTGGGGTGGGTTTAGAGGGTCCAGTCATACCGAACCTGAGGAGGCACCTGGAGCCCTAGGGGTGGATCGCCGTGTTTTCTCTTTTTCGTTCTCCGGGGGCTGAGGTGAGGATCAACCCTGATGGATCCTCCTTCGCCGGGGAGTGGAAGGAGCCGGAACGTGGCACATGGACCTGCGCGTGGCACCGGGACCGGACACGGCGAGCAGAGGAAGAGCCAGGGCAACGAGTTCAGGAACATCTACCAGCTTCTTCAGTTCGTGACCTTTTGAAGGTTCCTAAGTGACCCTACTCGCAGGCTTAAGTGACCCTCAAACCAGGTTATCAAAAGGTCACTTTGAAGAACCAGGTACCAGTACCCGACGATTTGTAAGGTCACAGAAGCCGGAGGCTGAAATGGAGACGACCCAAGTGGCAGGTGGTGACGCAGGTTTTGGGTGCTGGTACGGGAACCCATAGGTTTTGGGGAATGAAAGCCATGGTTTTCTGGAGTTTCACTTCAACAGAGACCAAGTGAAAGGTGAGAGGTGATGAGATTCAAACTTCGCGTTCGTCTCGTCTCGCTGGAACGAGAAGGTTGAGTTTTTTCCCCTGGAAGTCCAAGACTATCCATAGGGATCCATACTCTCTGAGAAGGTACGACTGGACCCTCCAAACCTACATCACACTGTCTCCAATCACCTTCTGAGAAGGTACTTGGATGCCTAGGGTATGACAATTCAAAGATGCTCGACCTTGGGTGACCTGAACACTTCGGATGTTTCCATGAATTAGCTGGTGCCCTGAATGAAGTGACCGAAGTGAACACTTCGCTGGTGCCAACCTAGCGCTTCCGGTGTCCTGTCTGGAGACCTATACCTGGACCCTCCGTTTTCGGGGTGTCCTGGCTGGACTACCCCACACTACCTATAGGCATCCAGACAGGGCACCCCGACAGGAGGGTCCTGGTATATAATATAAGTTATAGTGTAGGAGACAACCACCCTGGTGACCCGTTGTTGGAATCAGCTGCTGGAGCGACTGACCGAGCCCCTTTCCGACGGTTCCGCGCTTCGGTGTCCGGAGCCAAGTACAGCCCAACTTCATGCCACACTCCATGGGACTGGAAGAGATGCCCACATGGTTGCCCAACTTGCTATTTTTTGATGCCCTACAAGGATGAAGTTAAACCTGGTCCTTTACCTCTTTGAGGACCCAGTCAAATGAGGTCCTTGACCTGTAGGGATGGATTCAAAGGCAGACATGTGTTCACAGTTGGACGAACTGAGGGATGCGACCCCTAACACACAAAAAAGAAGGGCATATCATTTATATAAAAGATGGATTAAAATGAAGGGCAAAATACTATATTATAATAACCTAGCGTATGACCTGGCAAACATAATTTAATTAAAGTTTGCCATGTGATCACTTGTAGATAAGTAAAATAGAATGAATATAAGAGAAATTTCCTATCAATTAAGTAATCTCTGTATTTTATAGGAATTTTCTCCTTTATTTTACTTTTCGTATTTTATTATTTACAAATGACTGCAACTTTAATTTTAATAAGTTGCAGGGATATCGGCTAGTCTATTAATTATATTGATAGGCTAGGCGATATAAATAAGAAAAGATTGGCAGCAAATAAGAAAAATAAATAGCTGCCATAGATTATATCACCTAGCCATTGACCTTCGTTTCTATTTTAAATTAAAGAAACGAATGTGATCACTTGTAGAAATGAAGAACAACCGTAGGAAAAATCATAAAGGTACAACAAGGGGATGATTTTTCCGAAGGCTTACAAGCTGTTACCAAAGGACAAAGACAAATGATGAAAGACCCTGAGAACTTGGATGAAGAACTCAAGCCTTTGGTAACAGCCTGGTCACATCTGGGCCCCTTCTTGGATCTGGGGCCCCCTGCTCTTGGCCTGGCGGTGTAATCCCAAGAGCAGGAAAGAAGGAAATACGAACCACTGCCTGCCCCAGATGGGCCCCTTCTTGGATCTGGGGCGGGTGGAGAGGATTGGAGGAGGAGAGTGATGGTAGGTCCCAGATCTCGGCCAGGCTTCCAGATAGGATTCTAACCGCCTGTCCTTGCTTCCAAAAAAGGCAGGTGGATAGGGAAGAGGGATCTGGGGCCCCCTGCTCTTGGCCTGGCGGTGTAATCCCAAGAGCAGGAAAGAAGGAAAGGGTACAGCCGCAAGGAAAAATCCAGCCCACGTTTGTCCCTTTTGTTCCTGGATTTTTCTACAGGTAATTATATAGGGCTCATATTTTATTCGCATATGACAGCTTTTATTTTAATATGCTGTCATGGTTATCGGCTAGGTTATTATATTTAATGGTATTTTGCTATAATTTTTGTCACCCTCATTTTTCCCTTTGTGGAGGCACCAAGAAACCATTAAAATTATAGCGTGGAGTGTTTGGGATTGAGTATAGTCTTCTTGCTATGTCCTGGAGCCAGTGAAACACCTGTGATCCGCGGTAAGACATGGTAAGACCTCTAAAATCAAAGGATCACCTGGAAGTGGAAGACGATCTCTTTGGAGATCTTCGGCACCACCACTTTGTGTTCAGGACATTCCTGAACTTCTGGTCCCCTCGTTGGTCCCCTCGTAGGTCTTTACCCTAAGGTCTCCTGGCCCATCTCCTCAGCTTCGCTGGTCCAATTCGACCCCCCCCTGGCACCCACCGAACTCGTTCCTCGACCCCTCGGAGGGTTCCGGAAGCCTCCGCCCCGGTGTTTTCGGACCGGGACGCCAGGAGGGGTTTCCTCATGGACAAGGTGAGTGGAAGGTGGGAGCTGAACTGGGAGCTGGAGAAGGAGACGGAGGGACCGTCGGGCACAGCTTCAATCAGCTGTTTGGTCATGCTCATTATACTTCTAAATGTCTCCCGAACTGCTGGCCAATTGAATCCCCTTGGAAGATTTGTAAACATCCTCCTCCTAAGTTATCTTTTGTATGAGCCCTTTGCGATCTGAGTGAGATTGCTAAGCCACAAGCAAGCGTGCTGCACCGCCTTGGTTTTTTCAGGATCAGTGACTCAGTCAGGGTGGGAAGCTCAAGTTCACAAGAAACTGAAGTTCAGAGCCCGGAGCTGAAGTTCGGCCCGTGCCCCCACTTAGTCGAGGGGATCTGAAGGGCTCCGAACACGAGGCGATTCCAAGGCCGACGTGGAGAAGGTAGGTCATCTTGACGACGGAGCCCTGCCACGGCGGTAAATTGGTGAGGTTGGCGAAGATTTTGTGGAGGAGTCCTCGTAAATGAAACGTTTGGTAGCCTGGCCGGCTGTAGAATGGCTGTGCATGATGTGAAATTTAACATGTACTCCCCCATGTACCAGGACCTTCGATCAGGTGGTATTTCGACACCCCTTAACCTCTAAGAGGCCGGCTATTGATAGACCCCCCCGGGCTGGGAGGGTCCTGGTAGATGGTGTACTGTACCTCAATGGTCACCACTGCACAGAGCGAAGAGCTGCGCCACGGCCAGGCTGCCGCGCCCAGTTGCGAAAGCTACGTGGGGGAATGGAAGGTGGGCTGCGGTTCATCCACACTCCCACATCGACCCTCGGTCCATTCGCTCTTAGGTTGGGTGGTTGGAGGCCATCGCTTGTTTGATGACAGGGGACCTCAAAAAACCCGAAGAGACCCGAACAAATGCCTGGAAGGCTGCTTTGCGCGGGCAAGTCCCGGCGAACATTCGTCATACTTCGTCCATGGGGGTCCATGGGGTTTAGGTGAGATACGGCACGGTGAGGGGTTCTTACCGTGAATGGGAAAAGGTGTGTCTTGCCGGGTGTCTTGGCTCTGGGTCAAAGCCTGGGGAGCCTGCTGGGACCCTGCTTAACCACCGAAGATCAACAGAATGGGAGGTCAGCCTACCTAGGTATAATAATCCCTTGGGCTCCAGTCGTACTTTCTGAGAAGGTGGGACTGGGGTGGGTGCCATGTTCGGGTCCAGTCATACCGAACCTGAGGAGGTAACCTCCTGGCCTGGAGCCCAAACGGGAATAT